AATTTCATGTTAGTACTGTTAATTTGACAATCATTTGTGTATTATATGACCCACCAAATTTAACCACGTGATGATTGTCAAATCAACAATAGGGCTCCATTATCAATTTTTATAATTACTTTACAATCACTAAGCTTCATTAAGTGAAAAATAAACCAATGTAGAAAGACACCTTACCTTCTCAAAATAAATGTCAAAGGTGAGAATCTCCAAATTGGAAAGACGGCAAAGTACTGTAGAAATTAATCTCTCTACATATATAGACGGAATCAAAGAGTCCGCGTAGGTCACATAAACACTAGTAAGCATTGGAACGTCCTCAAGCAAGAGGCCTTCTATTTTAAAAAGTATAAGTGAAGTTAGTTTCGGAGCAGATATTCTTAAGAATTTTAAATAAGTGCAATCCCATATCTCCAAATGCTTTAATACAAGGGATGGTCCGCAAATTTCAAGACGTGTCAAATTATCAGAGGCACTGACACGTAACTGCTCGAGCAATGGGCAGCCACGTAAGAAAAACTCAATAGTTTCACCAGAGACTTGAATACCGCCCAAGGACAACATTTTTATGGACTTACAGTTGAAAAGTCGACTAGATTTGTAAGGACCGTCTGAACTGCATAACTCTTGAGGAAACACGTACGTTTCATCTGGGTCATGAATAAAGTCACCATCTGAAAGGTTCAACTCCAACTTTTCGATGTGCTTCTCAAAAGCAAATTCAAGCCACTTCGTAATTGACTTTCTGGCTGATTTGACTAAACTAAAGCATATTCTTAATTCTTTCACGCTGGACCCTCGGTGTGATTGGAGAACCGAATCCACCCACTTTACATACTTTTCCCTCTCGACACCGCGAAATTCTGGGTCCTCGATAATCTTCTCCATCGAACTATAGTCATCAAAGTTGAGATGTGAGGTGTAACTCCACAGGTTTCTCCAACGAGAAGAAAGAACACTTGTTCGCCCAGCTTCTTTCAATGTGAGGAAAGACAGGATAACAAGGAGAATGTCATCGGGTAATCGACTTATAAGATCATCACCATCATATCTCTCAACACACTGTCAAGCAAACACACCATAAACCATTAAGAATGCAATAATCAACAAGTTACATAAGTGATTTTACAAAAATAATAAATGATACTTTTTACATTTGTTATATAATATTTTAGGTGTTTTTAATAGCTATATGTACATGTAAGTATGTATAAAAAGAAATAAATGATACTTCTTACATTTGTTATATAATTTGTTATATAATGTTTTAGGTATTAAACCATTACATACATACTCTATAAAAGTTAATATAGAAAGTGATTTTCAAAATAATAAATGATACTTCTTAAATTTGTTATATAATGTTTTAGGTGCTTTATGTACATGTAGGTAGGTATGTAGGTATGGTATAAAGAGAATAAGATTTGTCAAATTTATAGAAAAAAATTGACAAAATTAAATTTTTAATTTTTATCTTTAATCATATAAAATTTCATTTTATTTGTAATATATATTTCGCTTGCATTAATATCGATTTGTATTTTAAAATTTAGTATGTCTTATTATATCAAGGCTTATAATATAATAAATACTTTAAAATTTTGGACAATTTTTTGACACATTATATATACATAGATTTAAATATTTATAGACATGTTTTGCTTACAAAACTTAACATCTTTTCGATGTGAAATTAATGTTTATAAACTTCATTTCTTTACAAAATAGTTTAAATTTTTTTAAGTGACTCCACATCTTTCAATAATAATATAAAATATTTTAGATACTAATTTACCTAGGTTATATAATATATCATAGGTGTTTTTAATATTTTAAACATACATATTTTTTATGTTATTTTATGTAAGATAATTTTATATTGTCTATTATAAATTATCTCACATTAACCCCCAACATTAATTTATAATTATTATTAATCTTAAAAAGAAGAACAATTCCGAGAGGCTCGCTGAATTGTATTAACAATATAAAAAATAATTAAATTTCAATCAATGAAAAAGAAAAATAAAATCAAAAATTTGAAAACTGTTAGAATTCCTAAAATTACCTCTTGGAAGCCCTTTTCGCTGGAAAAGAGATTTATCGTCTCCATCTTTGAATTGATTTCGTTACTCTCTTGCAAGCTATTTTCACTCCAAAAGAGATTTATCATCTAACTGCTGTGAAAAGGCGGCAGATCTGCAAAGGCTATTAAAACCTATTTATAGCATTCTCATGAGAGTGTTAATATGAATAAAATTACAAGACAATGGGCTATTCCTTGGCCCAACTGTATTTCATAAATATGAAGCCCATGAGAATATCAAACCCAAATGCACAAACATATAAGGAGATTTAAAAAATACTGTATCTAAAAAATAGTTGCAAATTGAAAGGCCGCGCCGCCGCCAACTTCCACGCCGGACCCCGCCAGCATCACCCGCACCACCGCCACGCTCACCTTCATTGAATCGATCGACCGATCCTTTCGAAACAACAAATAATTTAACAAATATAAATTAAAGCAAATAGCTTTATATTTTAGGAAAAAAAAAAACGAAAAGAATTGCGAAAATTAACAGAAAATACAAAAAAAGAATGACGAAAATTAACAGAAAAAACGAAAAGAATTAGCAGGAAAAGCAGCTTTCAGATGGGGAATTGAAAGTGGCGCAAGAATTCTTATGGGCCTGAAATAACTAAAGAAAAGTGGACGCCCAAAATAGAGTAAAAATGGAAGCCCAAAAAATTGGGCAAATTTTCATTTTTTTGTCCTTTAAGTTGGCCACTTTCCAAAATTGCACCCCGTCATTGGCCACTTTCATTCTCGGTCCTATAAACTGTCAATTTAATCAAAATTAGTCTCATTTTATCCCACCCCCAGATTAAATATCGACATGGCGTCACGTGGCGTTTATTTTATCTCATGTGGAATGATTGTTTGATGACTTGGCGGGATAAGAAAGGGCGCGAAACTTATCAGATTTTACCCCCAAAATGCAACTTAATCGTCACATTTTTCCCAATCTGAAAACCTAATTCCCGATACCCCCAAAAAATCGCATCTCTCAACTTTCGACAGAATCGAAATTGCTTGAAGATGGTGAGAAAAAAAGTGAAATCCTATAAAGATAAGTCAAAATTAGCAAAAGATCATGCCGAAATGAAGGAGAAATCACAAACTAGATCGAAGGATAAATCGAAATTGAAGGAGAAATCACAATCGGTTAAGGAGACCTCTGAATCACAACAATTGAAGCAACAATCTGAACCACGAATGAAGGAGACCTTTGAATCACAACAATTGAAGCAACAATCTAAACAAGGCAATATATGTAATTATTATACTTTTGGACTATCGAGTAATGCTTACCTACCAACGGTGGGCACATGTTAATATGTCTACCGCTTATGTGGCATTCACATATTGGTGGTGTAGTTTTTTGAACATATTAACATCACCAATGTGTGAATGCCACATAAGCGGTGGACATATTAACATGTGCCCACTGTGGATAGGTGAACATTACTCTTGGACTATCTTTGTCTAATTCTAAAATTCATGCGGGAATTGGCACTAATTAGTTGCAAGAATATGTTGTTACCTCAATAGTTGAATGCA